GATGAAGAACAGAGTTTCTCTAGGCTTCTGTCTTTCCTGGGTAAACTCTGAATGATTTTTCTAATAGAAGAAGAATAAAGGATGTGGTTTGTAGGCCAAGGTATTTTACTGAGAGAATGGGCATGCATTACATGTTGGCTCCTCCTCACTGTGTGTAAACTGCCTTCCTCTCTCTTGGCCAGCAGAAATTAGATCAATTCCTTATATGATCAAAGGCAGATGAATTAAGATGCAACATCCCCATTTTAAAACTAATCATAAATTATAAAGCTAACTATAAATGACAAAAGCTTTATTTATAAATCCTGTCCACAAGTGTTGTCGCTCTAGTTTTGCTTTTCCCACTTATTATTTTTTAAAATCACTTTATACATTAAAATCAATGGTTAAGATTAAGCATTCATAGCTGACACTTAAACAATCTCCAGGTTAGATAACAGTGAATGAATCTCCTGTTTCTTGGGCCACTTTGCTCTGGGCTCAGTTACTTCTCAGTTACTACATGTGGGTGGTAACTTTCCTCTGAACCTAAGGTTTGAGCTCCCACATCAGAGCCTAATACTTATTCATGCTCTCTGCATGAGTTTACCCTCGACCTTCCTGCTGTTATTAAATAAGAGGCTCTGTTCCAGAGACAACATGATTCAGTTTACACCATCATCATTTGCAAAAGCTTGTTTTCAGTGCTGCTCTGACCTCTAAACAAAGTAGATGTTGGTCTGGGAAAGGAGAAATCATTTCCTTTACCCTCAAGACCTTTAAATCTAAGTGAGTTTCTTGGTGCCACTTTATATTGATGCTTTAAACATTTATTTTAAGAATACTTTCCCAGATTCTTATGAAGCAAGAATAAAACCTAAAGTACCCATTTAAAAATATATTCGGTATTTTTATTTCATCTTTTCAAGGATCATATATTTTTCACCTCATTCTTGATCCTGACTCTTTGAGACTCATTGACTTGGGGAGATTCTCTGCTAGATATTTTTAGATGTCTATAACTCTTCTGTTATGAATTCATGTAACAAGTAAGTGGAGATTGACTGACTGAGCTGTTCTAATCCTAAAGTCCTCAAGTAAGTGGAACAATCCGTCCAAGGATTTAAGATTTTCTTGGATAGCATTGTTAATCTTGTAGCATTGTTAATCTCAATTAGTTTTATTGTGATTTTTTTTTTTTTTTTTGGGTCCGGTCATGGGGCCTGAACTCTGGGCCTGAGCGCTGTCCCTCAGCTCTTCAGCTCAAGGCTAGCGCTCTACCACTTGAGCCACAGCGCCACTTCTGGCTTTTTTCTTTTTGCTTATGTGGTGCTGAGGAATCGAACCCAGGGACTCAGGCATGCAAGGCAAGCGCTCTACCACTGAGCCACCTTCCCAGCCCCTGATTTTTTTTTTTTTTTTTTTGAGGCAGGTTCTTACTCTCTATCCCAGCACCTCAAAGTCAGGATCCACCTACCTTAGCCTCTTGAATGCTGAGATCACAGACACGTGCCACCATGCCCAGATTTAATCTGCTAGAATTTCTATATTACTGTTATGTAAGTTGTAAACTTGTAGTCTTTGTTGTGTGTTTGTGTGTATGTGTGTGTGTGTGTGTGTGTGTGTGTGCTTGTCTTGGGGTGTGAATTTAGGATCTGAATGCTCTCTTAGCTTTTTTGCTAAAGGTTAGTAGTATTCTATCACTTGAGCCACAATTCCATTTACAGCTTTTTAAAAGTGGTTAACTGGAGAAAGAGTCTTATAGACTTTCCTGCCAAGGCTAGCTTGGGACTGTAATTCTCCAATCTCAGTCTTCTGAGTAGCTAGGATTACAGGTGTGAACCCCTAGTATCCAGCTTTCTTTGTTTAGTTTAGGTTCTAAATACTTCAACTACTATTAACAATGTATAAGATTGTAAGAGTAGGGCTGGGAAGGTGGCTCAGTGGTAGAGCGCTTGCCTTGCATGCCTGAGGCCCTGGGTTCAATTCCCCAGCACCACATAAGCAAAAAGAAAAAAGCTGGAAGTGGCACTATGGCTCAAGTGGTAGAGCCCTAGCCTTGAGCTGAAGAGCTGAGGGACAGTGCCCAGGCCCAGAGTTCAGGCCCACGACCGGAAAAAAAAAAAAAAAAGATTGTAAGAGTATACACTACTTCCTAATTCCTCTAATGACTTAAAATGCATGAAAAGTAAAGGACATATGGAAAAAGAAGGTGTGAACATTCATGGATTAGGACAGTTTGGCAGGGTACCTGGCCAAGAGTAAGGATCTCTGTAGGTTGCAGAATGGAGCAACTACTTGCCAGGTGTTCTACATTTATCAGAACATTCCATTCCACTTTGGCTATGTGTTACCTTGGGCATATTATTTGACAGTCTGTATCATTCGACCGATTCTTTTTTTGGGGGGGGGTCCAGTTGTGAGGCCTGAACTCTGGGCCTGGGTACTGTCCCTCAGCTCTTCAGCTCAAGGCTAGCGCTCTACCACTTGAGCCACAGCACCACTTCCAGCTTTTTTTTTTCTGTTATGTGGTACTGAGGACTCGAACTTAGGGCCTCAAGCATGCAAGGCAAGTGCTCTACCACTGAGCCACCTTCCCAGCCCTCGACAGATTCTTATATCTGCCAAACCCAATCCAAAGTAAAAATCTCCAGCTATTCTTATGTTTAAAGGTTACATGCACTTTGCAAAGAGGTGTAATCCCAGCATTTGGGATTTGAGTCCAGCCTGGGCTACAGTAAGAAAAAAAGGAAAATAAAACTATTGCCTAACATAACGTAAGTACTGTGTGAATATTTGCTCTAGCATCTACCACTCATGAGGATATCAAGGTTCTTGTAGGCTAGAGAACCATACCGTGGCTGAGGAACTATTAAGAGGACGCATTTGTAACTCACTCCAGTTCTTTATTCCAAGCAGTTCCTCTTTTTAGTCTTGGTTCTATGATTATCTGTAACCCTGAAAATATCACTGAATAGCTTTGAATCTTGGTTTCAAAATTTATAAAATAAATGTGAGGTATCTAATGACATTTATATGCTAATGTTCCATAAAGTATGTTATGAGCTTTGGTGACAGATGAACTTACACACACACACACACACCACTAATAATTCAGCATACAATTGAGCAATACATTGTTAGTCCTCCACTATTTCTACTGTAGACAGCACTACTATTTAGCATGATAATCATTGCTAGATTACTTCTCAGGAACTTATTGCAAACAGACTTCATTTGCACCTTGGAAGCTATCTCCTAGGTGACATTTTTTGAAATTTTTGGTGATAGGGTCTTAGTATAGCTCAGCCTGTCCTCAAACTCAAAATCCTCCTGTCTCACCTTCTGCAGCACTGGAATTACACCTGTGTGTTATGTATCTAGCCCTGATGGATTATTTTGACACGTGAGCACCAAAAACTGAATTCATACTGAAGCAGCTATTTTCTGAGCATATGCCTCATGAAGAGCCATGCAGACCTGATTACTTCACCTGCAGTCACCTTTCTCCATGATTCAGATGATTCTGCTTTTTTCATATAATAGATTTCCCCAAACCCTATATTCTTGCGGCGGTCTTCGCCCTCCATGCACAGCTACCTTGTGAATCAACTGTGAAGCCTGAACAAAATAGAGCAATTTTAGGTTTGGATTCCATTTTGTCTGGGAAATGTGTCAGCAACTCCCCTTGATCTCCTTGGGCTCAAATTCCAGGAACAACCCTCTATGGTAAATTCCACTAACCACAGCTAATCAGCAGATAACAGGGAAAACAGAAAATTCCCGGTGTTCCTGCAAGTGAAAGACCACAGTTGCGGCTCTAACCGTCTGCTTAAGCCAATCATTTCGAAGAGTCTCAACCCTATGAACCAGCCAATCCCCAGTACCTGGTCAGTTCCCGCCACTGGTTATGCTAATCATCTTTTAGAATTATTTTATCATTTTTCTGCAGTAAATCGTATCAGAGGATATGATGTACTTGCATCTGAATCGGCTCTTGGTGGTCTTTGGGGATCCTTATCTGGGCATAAGAAAACTTTGTGCAAAACTCAGTGTTTCAGTGATTGAAATAATGTGTAAGTGGGAAAAACAGTCCTGGTTTAGTAACCTTTCTGGGTGGTTTAAGATGACCATAGCCTGGCTTGTTCTTTAGGCCTGAGAAGAGAGGAACTCACTCATTTTGTCACACTGGACTACAGGCAATGGCTTAAATTCACCTGATAATGCCACAAAAGCCACATACATGAGCTGTGGCCAAACTTAGGTTTTAGTAAGAGAGGACATAAATGTGAAGGGTGAAACCTTGAAGATTATTGTAGTCAGGGGGAAAAAAAACCTGCCCTGATGGTTTCTTAAGCACACAGAAAAAGATTAAGTGGCACCTAAGATATTTGAGTCTGGCAGTCTGAAAGACAGTAAACATAGCCGCTTTCCAAATGCTTAGTCATGCGCCCCATGACAAGGAGAAACACTTCAGGCTCTTACTTCCCTTGGGGCTTAGTCTTCAAGACTGCCTGGGTTGAAATAACTGTTAATGTTTTGGCATTTACCTTCCCTTCCTGACTCCACTCAATTTTTTCCTTTTTATCCATAAACCTGTTTTCACTTGCTTTTAATTCCATGAGCAAAAAGCAGCAGTAGCAAATGCCTGCGTCAAAAAGATGTGTTGTTTTTCCTAAAAAATATTGTTTGTGGATTGAAGGTAATAGCTCAGAAGATCAAATCCTAAATTAATAATGCTCCTTCTCCCTGTGAAATTATTTTAATAATGATAGGAAATTGCTTTGACATATGGGAAAGTAGGCACCTCTTGGATATTTCACTCCTTCAAGTCTTTCAAGGGAATTCTCTTTATAGTAACAGCAAGACATAGGGGCAGATATATGGTGCAGAAAGCTCTATCTGTACTCCTAAAAAGTATTAAAAACATCTCAAAGTATTATGTAGTCAGTTAAAAGAAAGGAAGTGTGTTTTTATATTTTATTCCCTTTGGAAAATACTTGTGGAATAAAGAATAGCTTTTGATTTTCTAAGATTTTATGGGAATTTGAAGTATAGCTATCATAAAACTCTGAATTTTGAAAGTTAAAAATTTTTAAAATCAGATTTGGATGTGCTCTCAATAAGTTGTGCCAGTAGTTATAAGTCAGCAATATTTTATCTAGAAAATGAAAAAAAGCTCCTGTATAACAATTTCTTCTTCATTTTTTGCTGGACAATACATTGAGATGGGATGTATATACACAATGTGGGTAAGTGTAGAGCAGAGACAAGTGGTTTTGGGAAAAGGAGTCAGAGTAAATTATGGGCTGTTCAGGTGTGCTACTGCTGAATCATTTTGGATGTTTACTGTTCTGCTTTCTTCTGTTACTTTAGGGTCCAACTTTGTCAAATGAGGTATTGTCCAGTGCTTTTGACTTTCCTCTCCTCCTCCCAGGTCCAAGTCAGCTCTAGAATGTGAGAGAAGGCCATGACTTACTAGTGGCTAGTGAATAGCAGTCACAATAAATCCTAAGACAAATTTTGTTCACCTAAGCACTGATATCAAGTCAATAAACAAACATCTATTATAGGCACCAGAGTCAAAGGTGAATGACAGATGGTCCCCATGTTCCAAGAACTGAACTGCCCCATGAGAATTAGCAAGTACAGAACTGGCACTTGATTGGACCAGATTATTTCTTTTTGGAGAAACAAATCTAACTGCTAGGTAAATGTTTGCGGTTAAATAAATTAAAAAAAAAAAGTAGTGTTTATTACAAGGGTTCTTCTCCACTAGAATACCTAGAGGAATTTTAGTATTTTATCAGATTCACCTTAAGGTTTATTAAACCTGGGAGCCTTACCTGCCGTTGATGAGTCTGAAGTGCAGATGAGAATTTGTATTTCTATCAGATGCTGCTGAGGCTGAGTCCCCAGTGGGCTCAGTGGTCACGCTGCATTTATACGGGGTGAGTCACAGATTATTATTCTATGCAACGTTATATAAAGATTCCCAGATACCAATGCCAGATTCATTCCGTGGATTCAAGGATGAAAATTAGGCATTGGTCATTTTAGCTGCTCACTTTTTATCTGGGGCCCAAGGCTAAGAGCAGTTGTTTCTCTGGATACCCTATACTTAGGCCTTATAAATTACCATTTGAGAGTTCATGAACACATTCCTATGGGTCAACTGTGGGAATTCTGTAATGCTTAAGAACATACTAACAACGACTTAATAAGGAGCGATTTCAAATTACTTTTATTTTCCTTCCAACTCTTTTGGCTCTCTTATTCTGAACTTCATTGGGACCATTTCCTATATATTTTCCTAGACTTTGGTAGTACTAGTATTACCAAGGAAAAAAAGTCTTAAGGTTGTGGGTCCCATTAGAATCCCACCTGTGCCTTCCCCCCTCCCCCCCCCCCCCCCCCCCCGCCCCAGGCTCGCCCCTGTAGTTATCTGGGCATGCTCAGTGGGCAGGGTCGGTTTGGGGGTAAAGCCTGCAGTTCAGCTTTTGGGGCTTTCTACCTCCCCCCCACCCCACCTGTAGGAGGCTGGGCCCTAGGAGTCCATGCTCAGCATCCCAACCCCTGGTGACTGAGCTTGGTCTTCTCTGCGGGTCCCCGTGCTGACATTCAAGTCGGGGGTCAGGAGGCCTGGCGCGCCCTGGGAGCGCGCGCGGGAGTGGGGTGGGGTGGGGAGCCCGGGTGAAGGCTTTGGGTTCCGCAGGCCTGGTCCCTGGGGGGCTTCATCCTCCTCCTAGAAGCGTTTCTAGGCCCAGGGACGCCGGCCTACCGGGAGGTGCGAGTAGCAAAAGCCAGATCTGCGGCGGGGCGACGAAAACCAGGTAAGCCCGTGTCACCGGCACGCAGGTGGAAGAGCGTCCCCACGCTCTCCCGGGCAGATGGCGTGGGCAGCCCGCAGGGGGAGGGCGCAGCAAATCAGCCTCCTCCACCCCGGCTTCCCTGGCCTAGCTCAGCCCGGGCTTTCCCCTCTGCTGGCCAACTGGCAAGGCGGGCGGGGCGAGGGTCTGGAGTCCGGGGCGCAAAACCGGAACAGCAGCCTTGGGACGCAGGCCTTGGCGCGGCCCTACGAGGCGGGACCTGTGTCGCCGGGTCCCGGCGTAGTTAGGTTTCTGGGGCGAGCCTTGCTTGGCTCGCTCGTCTTCCGCACCGTTGTAATATTCCCCTTCTCCTCCCCCCCCCCCCCCATTTTCAGCATCTCCCAAACCCTACCCCTGTGCCCCAATTCCAGTCTCCACATCCGCGTGCTTGTTCCAGGCCGGTGGAGCCTGGCCAGGCCCCAGATCTCCCGGCGGGACGCGGCAGCCGGGCCTGCTGGTCTGGCCCCGGGAGAGGGGACGAGAAGGTGGGGGGAAGAGGGAGGAGGGACTCGAGAGGGAGGAGGAAGTCGCCCGGGGGGCGGGCGCGCCGCGCCGGGCGTGTCGGGTTACTCTGGCCCCGCCTGACCCGAGTGACAACCGGGCTCGCCTCGCCGCCAGCCCCAGGCCGAGTCTCTGATTCCGGGGAGGGGAGGCCACTGCGCCCTGGCTGGAGGAACCTGGGGCTCCTGCCGCCGTCCACTCGCGCGTGAGGATTGAGCTGAGGTGTGTGCTTGCTGGGTATCCCTCACCCCACCCCCGCTTCTCCGCCCTTGGGGTCCTGGGGGACTGGGGAGAAGAGTGGTCCTTTCCTGAACCCCGCGATCGGTGGGGGCTAGGGTCTTGCCGAGGTGGTGGCGGGAAAATGGGCCGAGATTCGGAGGTGATTGGGTTTTTTGGTCCCCCCACCCCGCCCCGTCTTCAGCCGAAGATGGACTAGTTCGTGTTTAGGGTTGAGCATTACAGTTTGGTGGGAAGTAGAGCAAAATCTATTTGATGAAGACTTCGAAAAGTGGACGCCAGTGAAACTGGATGCAAACTTTTAGCTTGTGCATGTGGCTCGTGGGAGGTGAAGGATCTTCGCTCGCGCGCCAGGCTGGGGTGGGAGCCATTCTGGAAGGGGACGGAGGCTTCTCGGAGAAACTCGGAGGGGTGCGACGAAGTACGCTGGGGAGTTTAAGACGACCTCGGCTCTCCAGCTAGGTTAGATTTGCAGAGTGCTTTGGCAGAAAGGTGCCATTTTTAGCAGCCGTGTCTGTGGACATCTCCCACCTAGTGCCGTGTTCCCTCCTGCAGCTGCCCGCCCCACCAGTCCCAAAGGAACTTACAGACACCGAGTTTCATAAAGGATCGGAGACTGGGGCAACACCAACTACACATCACACATGGCAAACCACACAGGAAGCCATAGCAACAGCCAAACGCTAATGTAGTCCATGTATGCAAATAAGTGAGGGAAGGAAGTTGGTTAAGCACGGTCTTAACAGCTTAAAGCAGGGTTTTGCGTACTTCCGAGTTGAAGGGATGTGGGGTGACTTTCTGGAATGTGGAAGGTGGGTCATGGCTGGTTATGATCACACTAGGACTTTCACTGACCACTCTTGTGGGTGAAACCCACCGCTCATGTGGCCATCACGTGTGAGCCAGAGACCATTGCCCAGTCGGTACTATGAGCAGTGTGTGGAAACCTTACCCAGTGGATGTTGAAACTTGCGTTTCTCATGAAAGAAGCATGATGTCAAGTCAGCACACTCCCTTCATTTGAACAATCCAACTCCGCAAAGTTACAGTTGTACCTTAGTGAATAATGGTTTGGGAGAGTTGAGAATCTGGATGGTTGGAGCTGAGACTTCAGATTACATTACAAAGAAATTCTAAGTAGCATAGGAGTTTTTCCTTTTCCCTCTCTCTGGTTTGATGAAAGATTTAGTTGCTTACTTTAGTAATTAATATGAGGGACACAGTGTTCCCAGTTTTCAATGAGTCTTACACCCCTATTTAGTTTTTGCAACTATTTAATCTTATAATTAAAGAGATTTGATTATCATTGTACATCATGGGCAAACTGTTACAGTCTGTCTGGTTATTTGTTTTCTGTCTTCCATCTCAGGAATGTAAGGTTTGTGGAAGAGAGCTTCTTGGTCTACTTAACACTATTTAGTACTGCGTGTCTTAAAATGAACACTCCTTCCCTTCCACCCACCCTCTCCTCCATATCTTTTTTTTTTTTTTTGCCAGTAATGGGGCCTGAACTCTGGGTCTGGGCGCTGTCCCTCAGCTCTTCAGCTCAAGGCTAGCGCTCTACCACTGGAGCCACAGTGCCACTTCCGGCTTTTTCTGTTTATGTGGTGCTGAGGAATCGAACCCAGGGCCTCATGCTTGCAAGGCAAGCACTCTACCGCTGAGCTACCTTCCCAGCCCTCTCCTGCATATCTTATCTCTCCTCCTGCCACCCCTTTTCAGAGGGTCTGGTTATGTAGCTCAAGTTAGCCTGGAACAGGACACTTGCCTGTTTCAGCCTGCCAAGTGTTGGGATTATCCATGGCTGGATTCAATGTTTTCTAAATGAATTACTAAACTGTGGAACAAATTACCTGAGTCTAAAAAAGAAACTTAGACTTTGGCTCTAATATTTAAATTCATTAACCTTTGATTGCTTCATGCGTAAAGTATGCATAATAATAATATAGGACAAAAGTTGCTAGTATGTAACTGTCACTGGTAGGCAATAATCTTTAATACACTCATGTTCTCCCTGCTTATCCTTTCTTTTAATACTTTAAAGGGAAAATTTGGGCAAAGTGCACATTGATATAATTTATCTCTTACAATGTTGTGAATGAATGAATTATCCTTTTCTTTTTCACCATTTAATTTGGTAGTGTGTGTGCTGTGGCAGTTACAATAATTAGGATAAAGGAAACAATTTCCAGATTATTATTTAATTCCTTTGATTTATTTTTGGAATTTGGTGATGTTTTCATTTAGAGTTTCCCCAAACTTCATTTTTGTTGTCAATATCTGGATTCACAGGACTGACCTAAGTACAGAAACTCTTGAGAAAGCCCTGGAAATCATGTGTGTGTTACACTGGTTTTTGTTTTCTTGTTTGTTTGTTTTGTGATAGAATTTAAATTTGGGGCCTTGAGCTCTTTCTTGCCTTTTCACTTCAGGCTGGTGCTCTACAACTTGAGCCACACCTCCAGTGCTGGATTGTGTGTGTGTGTGTGTGTGTGTGTGTGTGTGTGTGTGTGTGTGTGTGTGTGCTGATCATGGGGTTTGAACTTAGGGTCTGGGCTCTATTCTTGAGCTTTTATGCTCAAGACTAGCACTATACCACTTGAGCCATAGCTCTACTTCTGGAGGTTAATTGGAGCTATGAGTATCACTGGATTTCCTGCCTCAGCTGTCAGCCTCCTGAATAGCTAGGATTAAAGGTGTGAGCCACTGATTCCCAGCTTCACTGCTGGATTTTCCCTGTTATTTGGAGGTAAGAGACTTTTCTGCCCAGCTGTGATCCTTGGATTTCAGCATCCTGAGTAAAGTTACAAGCATGTAATCTAAATTACACCAGCTCCTGGTTTACATTGGTTTCTCAAATGAAGTTTATGTAGCCTTGTGTATCATCATATAGTAATTAGGGTTAGGTAAAGAATAGTTATCATCTTTCGAGATGATTATTTTAACAAGGTATGTCATGTGCCACCTTAAGTCATCTTGGTCTACAATGCACCATAGATATGAAGTTGGTTGTATAGCATTATATTACCTGGTGGACGCCATCTTAGTTTGTATAAGTAAGTACACTGTATGGTATCTCCACAATGGATCTCCTAATGAAGGCTTTCTCAGAATGGATCTCTGTCCTACATATGACTATACGGATGAAACAAGTAGAGACAAACCAATGTGAAGTGTTGCGAAATAGGATATTGGCTGTAACTATTGTGGTCACAGAAGACAGGGATTAACATAGGCTTAAGTAGTTGGAGATAATATCATTTGCATTAAAGATAATATTTCCATAACAGAGTTATTTACAGTGACCTTCTGATTACAAAAGTTCATAGTTTCAATAATATCCATCACTTGATGGGTTTGGTACTTGACTAAAATACTGGCACCTCAGGAATCTGAGGAAGGAGGATTGTGTATTTGAGGCTACATAGTGAAACCTTATTTTCAAAAATAAAAAATAAATACCCCGGAAAAGAAAAGAGAAAATTTGTTATTTTTTATGTCAGTGAATGCAAAAGCAAATACAACCAGGTTGTTTTCAGAAGCTTCTTTTTCTGTGGAAAATGAAGAAACTTTTAGTACCATTCTGTATGTGCATGAATGAATACTTTCCACGAGGTCTCTTATGAGGAAAGCTCAGGATTACTGCTTAAAAATTGTAACACTTCATTCTTGTCACTTAGAAAACACTTGCCTAAAACTTTGTCACATGGCCTGCCTTTTACTCTGTCCTATTTTGTCAGTGGTGTACGTTTTCTGTCTGAACTATGAGAGGGAAAATTACTGGTTATCAGAGTTGGGACTCTTCGCAACTGTGTTCATGATTGCTATTTGGGGAGATAAGGAAGGACTGAATGAAACTAAAGAAAGTATATAGTTGCAGGTTTTTTTTTTTTGGGTCCTGTCGTGGGGCCTGAACTCTGGGCCTGGGCGCTGTCCCTCAGCTCTTCAGCTCAAGGCTAGCACTCTACCACTAAAGCCACAGTGCCACTTCCGGCTTTTTTCTTTTTGCTAATGTGGTGCTGAGGAATCGAACCCAGGGCATGCAAGGCAAGCGCTCTACTACTGAGCCACCTTCCCAGCCCCTAGTTGTAGGTTTTAATTGCTCATCAAAATATTTGGATAATTCCTTTATGTCTTATTACCTTTGAGGTAAGAAGAAAAACTGTAAGTGGTTTGTCACCATAAGAAACTTGTAAAACTTTCTTGTTTTATAATTGTTGACATGATGAATAACAAAAATGTATGAGAGACCAGTGACCAGATTCTAGTCCCAGTGACAAAGACTAGGGCCATCATGGTTGCAAGTCAGGACATTTCTAACAAATTTAGAATAGACCACTTCCTATAATATATAACCAGGGATTGATTTCCAAATCAATGAAGAGGAAAGCAGAGCTGCTGATGGTTTGAGTGCTCAGGGCTGTTAAGGCAGTGATTGTGGTCAGTTGGTCTACAATTCTAATTTGTGCTCTGACATGAATATGATTTATTTTATTAATTGATTGATTGTACTGATACTGATACTCAGGACTCTTGCTCAAGAC